TCCCCGTTAAATATGAACGACGTTGAAAAGCCTTCCCGAAACAGTCTGCGCATCTTCGCAGGCGCGTGCCTCAGAAACTAAAGGGGTTTGGGTCTTAAAAAGGACATAGCTGTGAGCTGCACTGAATGATCTTCAGCATGGCTATTTCAGTTCAAATCCCCATACAAATGTCGGACACCTCCTTAAGGCGATCCTGAAGAAATATGTGGTCATTGATATTTATCCTGTTTTAGTTAACAGGTAGCAGTAGCCTAGCACACTGCTACCTGTCAAGCACATAGCTTTGCACGCGAATTAACTAAGGAATTTATGTTTTTACCCAATGACAAGGTGAAAATTCCTTCTAAAATATCGATGTATCCTAATGCTTTGCGTTACATATAAGACGACTGTCAGTGACAAGCAGATTGAAAATCGTCCAGTTTATTGTGATTCTGATTTTGGGTACTGGTAATTAAATCCGGTGTTTGCACCTACCAACCCACAATGGGAAGCGAGCCACAATTGAACACTCTCCACGGGGAGCTGTTCGCGGCCAGACGCCCGTTTATCGAGCCATTCCAGTCAAGGTCGGCAAAACATTCGAGTACTGGGCTCAGCAAGTCATTCATGGCGCGTCAGCTCGTCAGACTCACATCCTGCCGGGTTGCCATCCGGTGTCTTTTCCGATCGTATCTGCGCCACCGTGGAACAGCTCTTGCCACTCAGAGCATGACAAGCACGACAGATGTCACCCTGGACAAGCCTGTCACGACAGACCGCTGTCAGTTCGCTGTTGATGCATATCAATACAGGGTCAATAGGCAGCTTCTGCATACCTGCGCGACGTATATATATATATATATATATATATATATATATATATATATATATATATATATATATATATATATATATATATATATATGGAAGATCCTCGGACAGTAAAAAGCAGCAAAAGTTTATGGCCAGTACAGCAGCCGCTATCATTTATGCAATTCGCCAACGTTTCGATACCATATGTGTCATGGTATCCAGGGTATATCCAATCATGTGTATCCAGGGCGCTCGGTCACAAAGATGAAATTATACAAAGCTGCATGGAACACACATCGCTAGAGATGACAATGGTCAAAGTTAATGCAATTAAACATACTTCCCTGCGCGAAAACAGGACAACCTGACAAAAATACGACATCACGCGATGAAAGCTTGTTTGACTCCGTATGAAAAAGGCGGCGTTATAACTTGCAGAGGATATGCAGACCAATTGACATGTAACGGCGGTTTTTTGGGGGGAAACATGAAGTAATTTTAAAATTCTAAGATCGAGGAAATTTCTGCAACGCCCTAGTAGGGAAAAATTAAATGCTTAAGTGAGTGTCAGATGTAAATTAATGGTGTCGTATGGGCGAATGATCTGCATTAGAAAGAATATCGCCTGCACGATCAGACCCTGCCAAATGCTGTAGCACTCTGTAGTGCAAACTATGATGCGTTGAGCCTACATAAGATGCTCCGCAAGAAGCACAACAGCATGTTTCAATGACTGCAGGGGTAGAACATTGGGAAAGCTTGTCTTTTAACTTGAAGAAAGATCTCACAGTGAAATAATTTACCAATAAGATTACTGAGGACAGAAAAGGCATATTGCAGCAGACCTTGCAGCAGATTTGTAAACTCTATTTTTATTCATATCGGCTACTTTCCAAAAAGAGCAGCATAAGATATTTGCTCTGCCTTATGCTTTCATAAGCGGCGGAGATTTTAAATATTTTGCACTCAAGAGGCTATTCGTTAAAGCATGATTAATTGAAAGTGGGAAGCCGTTTCCTTAAAAGCATTATCTGGGCCGGCCCATCCCGGAACAAAGGAAGCTTAAGTTGGAACTTAAACGGAAAGCTCTGTAAATAAATGTTAAAAAAGCGTCGGGAACAAATACTAAAAAGCTCAGTTCAAGACCAGCAAACATGGGCTTCCTATAGACAGAGATTTCAAACTTCCCGTCGTGTAACTTCCGAACTCGCACATCAAGGAGGGGCATCTCTCTTTCCCTTCTTTCTCTCTCTCCCTCTCTCTTTCCCTCTCTTTCTCTCTCTCTCTCTCTCTCTCTCTCTCTCTCTCTCTCTCTCTCTCTCTCTCTCGCTCTCTCTCTCTCTCTCTCTCTCTCTCTCTCTCTCTCTCTCTCTCTCTCTCTCTCTCTCTCTCTCTCTCTCTCTCTCTCTCTCTCTCTCTCTCTTCTCTCTCTCTCTCTCTCTCTCTCTCTCTCTCTCCTCTCTCTCTCTTCTCTCTCTCTCTCTCTCTCTCTCTCTCTCTCTCTCTCTCTATCTCTCTCTCTCTCCTCTCTCTCTCTCTCTCTCTCCTCTCTCTCTCTCTCTCTCTCTCCTATCTTCTCTCTCTCTCTCTCTCTCTCTCTCTCTCTCTCTTCTCTCTCTCTCTCTCTCTCTCTCTCTCTCTCTCTTCTCTCTCTCTCTCTCTCTCTCGCCTCTCTCTCTATCTCTCTCTCTAGTCTCTCTCTCTCTCTCTCTCTCTCTCTCTTCTCTCTCTCTCTTCTCTTCTCTCTCTCCTCTCTCTCTATCTCTCTCTCTCTCTCTCTCTCTCTCTCTCTCTCTCTCTCTCTCTCTCTCTCTCTCTCTCTCTCTCTCTCTCTCTCTCTCTCTCTCTCTCTCTCTCTCTCTCTCTCGCGGGACTTTGCAGGAGCTGCTCCCCGGTGGCGCAGATGCGATCAGCGAGCACGCTGCAGACACCGGATGGCAGTCCGACAGGACGTGGATCTGACAAGCTCGTGCGCCATGAATTACCGGCCGAGCTCAGCACTCGGCTGTTTTGCCGACCTTGACTGGGCCGGCTCGACAAACCGGTGTCTGGCCGCAAACTGCTCCTCGTGAGGAGAGAGTGTTCCATTGAAGCTGGCCTTCCGTTGTAGGTTGGTAAGTGGAATATACCGGGCACACAGACCAGCACCTGGATGCAAAACAGACACGTAACTATCCGCACCACAGACGCAGAATGCCCGGCTGGTTGCATTTTGGTCTGGTTGTCTTCTCAACATTAAATAGAATGTTCAGCATTTGAAGATATTGAAGCAAGCATGCTGTGTGTTGAAATAAGCTCACAATTAACTATGGTATACTTTAACGAGTAAAAGACTGCTCTTGACAATATAATTTCTCTTTTTAGTAAATATCCTTCTCAATGCGCCATTTTTGGTTGTGTGAGAGTAAATTGACGGCCGTTATGCCTGGGAATCATGCTCACTAACGCCAGATATGAACGACTCGACGGTCATGTTTTTCTTGGCTTTGATCGCCGGATGGCCAGCAAAATGGCAGGATTTAGATACCGTTATTAAGGCTGTCATCGATGCCTGGGTGGCAATGAAACTGTCAGTAGGAAATAGTCCGCACACGTTCACGGGCGCGCAGCTCAGAAACTAGAGGGGTTTGGTCTTCGCAAGGCAAGAGCTATGAACTACACCGAATAGCTTCATGATGACTATTTCAGCTCGCCCCCCTTCCTCCTCCCCCCCCCCTTATGAGTGTGGAACACTCCCATTAATGTTGCATTCTGGTCGTATTCTCTGGCCAGCCTTTGAGTCCATGACGCGGTACGCAATTGAAGAGGTCGTTCTTGCACGGTCGTTCTTGCACGGTCGTTCTTCTGTGCACGCGCACACAAGATGCTGCACACAATTGACAATTATCCCGTACAGCCATTCCCGCTGTGACGTCACCAAGTCGCACGTACTTTCCAGAACACAGCAAAAGCTAGTCACGCAGCAGAGCACCGGAAGCGTGACGTCTGCGTCACCGCGTTACTCGGCGCGTCCCATGTCGCACTGCTCCGCACGAGAGGCTGACGCAATCGTTCACACCCACCCGCGCCGGAGCCGACGGAGCCGCCGGAGGGAACGGACTGTCAGGGCCACCGGAGGGAACGGGTCGTCAGAGCCGCCGGAGGGAACGGGCTGTCAGAGCCGCCGGAGGGAACGGGCTCTCAGAGCCGCCGGAGGGAACGGGCTGTCAGAGTCGCCGGAGGGAACGGGTCGTCAGAGCCGCCGGAGGGAACGGACTGTCAAAGCCGCCGGAGGGAACGGGCTCTCAGAGCCGCCGGAGGGAACGGGCTGTCAGAGCCGCCGGAGGGTTGGAACGGGCTGCCAGAAGCAGCGGCGGGAAACGGGTCGTCAGAGCCGCCGGATGGGGCACGGGCTGTCAGAGTCGCCGGAGGAACGGGTCGTCAGAGCCGCCGGAGGGAACGGACTGTCAGAGCCGCCGGAGGGAACGGGCTCTCAGAGCCGCCGGAGGGAACGGGCTGTCAGAGCCGCCGGAGGGAACGAGTCATCAGAACCGCCGGAGGTCAGAGTCGCCGGAGAGAACGGCTCCAACTCCTCCCATGTTCCCCTGCTTGTCAACAGCACCGCCGACCCAAGCCAACTATCCGTGGCCTCCGCCCACTGTACCGGGGTCCATGGCGGAGCGGCTACGGTATTTCTACTCCGGATTCCACGTCACACGACCAAATCCTCCGCGCGGATGCCATGACCTCAGCGCGACTCGCCCCCAGTAACCCCGTCTCACGGCCAGCCTGTCGTCGCAGTGTCCGTTCCAGACCACGAGGCGGCGGCACCGGCTCGCCGGACGCCACCAAAGAAGGCACCCATTGTGGCGATGGATGATATGACCCACTTCGACCGGCGTCGGTCGTCGCCAGGCCACGGTAACTGTCGGCTGCCTGTGGGACAAGACCGTTTGAGCCATACGTCCAGAGCCGGGGACGCTCGTATGAGCTCAGGGGAGGGTCAGGGCCCAGCGACTCACTTCCCGCGGAGCACCGAGGTCACGCTGGCGGCACGGCTGGTCGCCTTAGGTCAGGTCAAGACGGTGTGGGGCAGGACAGGGCCGGGGGCTGACGGCGGCTCACCTCCAGTGGCGGATCGACTCCGGGCCGCACGTGGCTCCAAGCCCCGGGCGCGCCGCTCGACGATCGAAAAGGCCGCGCGCCGTCGTTGGGCAACCACCCACCTTTCACCGACGCCGGGCGCGTGGCCGGTGGCTGCGCGGGGCCGGATGCTGGGCGGCGCGACGCGGCGCGGTGTGACTGGGCGAGGCGGGGCGGCGCGGGACGTGCGAGCTGCCCGACCGGCGCCGGATAACTGTACACCGCCGGCCGACACTGCTGGCTTTCACCGAGCGACTGACGCGGCGCGTCTCGGCCGCGGCGTGGCGGACCGGCGGCGGCGCCGCAGAGGACGGCACCGCGTGGCCGACCGGCGGCGATGCTGGAGCGAACGGGACCGCGGCGGCGGACCAGCGGCGATGGACCAGCGGCGGCGGACCAGCGACGGTGGACCAGCGGCGGTGGACCAGCGTCGGCGGACCAGCGGCGATGGACCAGCGGCGGCGGACCAGCGGCGATGGACCAGCGGCGGCGCCAGGAGGACGGGATTCCGCGGCAGACCGGCGGCGGCGGACCAAAGCCGGGTGCCCCGCCTCTTCTTTTTTTTAGTAGTTTTTATTAGATTTTTACTTCCAACATTCTGCCCAAAAGTCGCGGAGAATATCCATTCTAGAGCGTATTCATCTAGAACGCACGGGCGGGGGAATGGGTGGCAGCAGCCGGGTACTGGTCCTATCGGCCGACGGACCCTTAATGCTACCTTACATAGATAAGCACTTGCTTTAGAAAATGGAACACCGTCATCGTCAGAACATCGCCAGAAAATCAAAACCACTCGTACGCATGGCTTGGAAGAACGACGATAAGCTAAAAAAGTATCTGGTGAAATCTTCTACCTCGAAGCCCAAGTGCCTGGGTAGCAACGGATGTGATTTATGCAAGTCTGGGTCTTAAGGGGTTTGAACCAAAAAACGTGGTGAACGAAATCAAGTGTAAACTGTGTGAAAAACATGGAAGGGACATAGTCTGTGGCGGGAGTCCATGCGCCATATTTGCTTGAGATGTAATAAACACATGCAAGACGCTAAAAAAAATCAAGGAAATACCCCTTTCGGTGAGCATTTTTGGGCAAAACACACTCAGGCTGGAATCCAGGGAGGTAGGAACCCTATGCCCCTTCTAGAGCTCAGTCATCTACAGAGCGCAGGATCACCCAGACAGGAAAACAAGTGGTTCTCTTCTTATAAAAAGCCGGTGACCAAACTTTAACGTACAGGGCTCATGGCCGATTATGCAAACGTGATATGTGCATTGATGTGTGAGTGTGTTAGCTTAAAATTGTTTACGTGTGAGAGTGATGCCTGACGTGCGATGCGGGATGCCTGTTTCGTCGAAATCGCTTGCATGTATACTAGATGCGTGATGTATGATGCCTGTTTATTTCAAGTCGCTTGCATGTTTCAATGAAACGTGATGTGTGATATCTGTTGACATGAACTTGTTTGCATGTACACGTGTTTTCACGGATTCTGATTCTTAGTTGGATATACACTGTATCGTAGTAGTGTCTGGTCATTGCTCACTGTTTACTGCTCTGAATGTTGGTGTCTTGTGAAAACTGTGGCTCGCTATTGCCGAAAAAAAAACTGAAAAATCGAGTAGGATCGTCGGCAGGTAATTTTGAATTCACTTCTGCTATTTTTTCGATAAAGGCATGTTGCCGAAATACCAACGCATCTGTATCTCCATTGTCTTGGTTTTTCTCTGAGAAAAGAGGCTATTACTAATGTCTTATCTATGCGAATAATGTTCCTCACAATTGCACTATCAGCTTGCGGAACGTGTGCTTGGATAGTAAATCCAGGATACCATATGTTACGACGTTTAGCGTATATTAAGTTATGGATAACATGCCGGGATGTATCATGTCATGCTGCATGTAACTCCCTGTCTCAGTGGTTTCCGGCGAAGCGACGTACAAACTCATTCATTATCCACGCTAGCACGTTTTTCCGGCTGTGCTGACAGCAATGCGACAAAGCACGAGAAATCCCTGTTAGTAAGTAATACGTTATTAACAAATATGCGATAAGGATTCTCCAAGTTCTGCCAGATAAAGGGGATGCTCTTCTTTATCGTGAAGTTTCTTGCTTTGCCTTCCCCACCCTAGTTCGAAAATATATCAGTTCCCTAGATTTGTGTGATACCATTTCGTTGTCACTGACGGCATGTCGGAGTTGTTCAACTTTCTTTATAACTAAGGCCGATCACAGGCATGGCTCCCTCATTTTTACGTGTGTTTTATATTTTGATTTTTCCCACTTCTTGCGAATGTCTTTAGTCTGTTTATCCCGTACATTCATTTAGCCCTCATATTACCAAGTTGTTCGTAGCACGAACACCATAATCCCACATGCTTCGAAGGGGCTCCACACACTCCGTAAAGCTTCTCAGAGCCACGTCAATGCCTGGTGAGCATGGCACATCGGGCTTCAGCGCTCACCAGCAGCTAACAAGCGGAGGGGCGCACGGGTCGAGTCGGCGTGGGGGGGTCCAGCCATGTGTGAACTCAGCGCTCAGGGGCGCGTGCGCGTGGATCGGAATGGCGTCGGAGCACTCGCGTGGGCCGCCAGGACACGCGCAACCAGGAGCGTAAGAGCGCGGTGGGCAAGGGGGTCATGCCTTCCTCCCTTTCAAGGGGTGGGGGGGGAGGGGCAAGCAATCTCAAATGGCTCACTCACTTTTTCCTATTTAGTTTGCGTTTCGATTACTTTTGTACTGCCACTAATATGTATGCCAAATTACCTAGTTATTCAGCCATGAAACCGCCCTAGGCAAAACTTCTACAAACGGTTACTAGTAGCACATCATCCTACCATGCATTGCGAATGGATGTCTTTTCTAGCAGACTCCAAAAATGTGCCCTTTTATACTCTGGCCACAAAGGCTCCGTTTTGTTTTTATGTAATCCAGTTTTGTTTTTTGTCTGCCTGTTTCGTGAAATTATGCCCTCAGTATAGCGTCGTGAAGTTCAAGATGGGTGTCTCAAGATGGCATTTGGCGTAGTTCAACATGCGCGGCAAGGATTAGGTTTCCAAATAATGCCGGTATTTCACACCACCTTCGCAAACCTACCGGTATGACGCCGGTCAGCGGGAAGCTTTAAGGCAATACTTGAATTCAGCAAGTTCATGAGCGTTTTCGTTCGGCTCGATTCATTATGCTATTTGCCCAGCCGATGCAGAAGTTTTTGTCACTTTTATGCAACGCTGGACGAATATTAGGCGCGTCGTGAAAAATTTGTAGAGGATGCGTAGCCAGCGTGAGGCCGAAAGTTCGTTGTACATTCTGGCTTATTTTGGGTGTTAAGAAAATATTCATTAGAGTGCAGTTGACCATATATGTTCTTATTGCATCGTCTGTAATCATACCAGAGAACCTCCTCACACTAAAATCCGAGTATATGTTACGTTGTGAACCCATTTTCTGTCTGTCGTTTGATTGGACCAGCGGTGTTGATCGTTACGGTCGCGCCTCATAGGATATGACTGACTATACTAACTCCTACTTGCGTCAGTCCAGTAGCGCGGGCAGGGGGCACAGGGAGCACGTGTCCTCCCCCCCCCCCCCCCCACTTTGGTTCGGAGCGGCCCGAAAGGTTCCTTGGGACCTACCATTAATTGCCCGATTTGAGTGCCCGAAGGGCCAGAAAGGCCTACCGGAGGTCGTATTAAGGGGCCTTGCCGGCAGGGCCAGGCACTTCAATGCCATCCAGAGGGCCTTGCGTGCTGATCAAGAGCCCCCTGAGTCAATAATGGCCCATATGTTGGTCAGACGCCACCAATTACGGACAGTCGCTCCCGTGTCGGCATGGGCCTGAGGGCCCATTCCCCAAGCAGGACAAAGCCGGAGCCAGCGATTTACATTGTTCGGGTCCCAGCGTCTGTCAGGGGCCCCACATCAACTAACAGGGGGCCTGTGTTGGCAAGGGGCCTGAGCCGGCCAGAGACGGTGTTCGAGGAGGCCCGAAGAGGCTAAAGGGCCCGCTGGGTCCGACGAGCAAGGGTCTGATTGTGGGGCCCAAGGTCACGAATGGCTGGTCGGGTCCTATTCAGGGTCACCAGCCTGCAGCGGCGGTTTCCAGCCTTCAGTCTGCAACCTCAAATGACAGTCAGAGGGCCCTTTGCGCTGATTGGGGACCCCTGAGTCGATATGGGCTTATATGTCAGTCAGGCACAACTGCCACCACTGCAGTCGGTTCCGTGTCGATACGGGCCTAAGGGTTCACTTCCCAATCAGCTACAAAGCCGGGGACAGCGATTTGTACTGGTCAGGGCCCCTGTATCTGTCAGGGGTTCGCAGTGCCTAACAGAGGGTCCTACTTTCGCAAGGAGCCTTAAGCTGATCAAGGGCAGTGTTCGCTGAGGTCGGAAGAGAGGCCCAGGCGGTCCCGCGGAACCGGCGATCAAGGGGTCGATTGTAGGGCATAAGGACCCGAAGGACTGACTGTAAGTTGCGTAAAGAATCGCGGCCCATAGGGTTGTAACCTAAAATATCAGTCAGAGGTCGTCTTGCACCCATTGAGTAACCCCTGAGACAATGAGAGTATCTCGGTCAATCAGAGACGACGAGCACCAAACAGTTGGATTCCTCTCAGCCTGACCTATGGGTATCCATTTCGCAAGGAGGAGGAAAATTCGGGGCCACGACTTGCATTGGTCTGGGTCCCTGAAACGATGGTTGGGCCCTTGCGTTGGTCAGGGGCCCGCAGTGCATAACAGGGGGCCATGTGTCAGCTAGTGGCCCGAGCCGGTCACGGGCTGTGCTTGAGGAGGTCCGAAAAGGCGACGAGGGCCCCTCGAAACCAAAGATCAAGCACCCGATAGGAAGGCTGAAGGGCCCGAAGAGTTGACTGTAGGTCACACTCAGTGCCCCCGCCCGTAGGGGCGGGATCTCAGATGTCAATTAGAGGGTCTCTTGTATCGATTGGAGACCCTGGGACAGAGCATTCCTCTTTTCTATCAGTAATCACAAGCACCGAGCAGTCGGCTCCGTGTCGGTCTGATCTCTCGGGGCCCATTTCGCAAGCAGGGACAAGGCCAGGTCGGTGATCTGCATTGATCCGAGCCTCTGTAGCAATGTAAAAATGCGGGCTCCTGTA